AATCCGTGGCCTTTACCAAGATCAATTGTCATTTTGGACAACGCCAAAATTCACATGTACGAAGAATTTTACGAACTTATTCACGGTACTGGTGCACTATTATTTTTTCTGCCGCCGTATTCACCTGACTTGAATCCTATAACAGTCGGATTTTCTCTTCTAAAACGATGGATCCGACGCCACGCAAATATGGCGTTCCGTGAAAATCCTCTTGCGGTCCTCAATGTCGCGCTGTATTTTTGCACTAGACAGTCTGAGGAAGTTGGGCAAAATTTGTACGGCCACTGTGGGTACGATGGGAACAAACTCAGTATAAAAATCAGTGAGTTTTAATGAAATTCATGTATTCGTACTGAAAGCATCGTTCTCTACCTCTACTACGCTCCTTAGAGATGATCGTTAAGATGATCGACATCATCCATGTCCTCTGCAGGAGCGGGAGTCTCAAAATCTACCGGGTCACGGAACGGAGGACGAAGGCTGTAGGCCGGTAAACCGAGAATTTCCTGGAGATCCCCAACATGAACTTGCACTTGGATCAATGCACCTTGAATTTTGATCCTGAGCATTCTGAAATTCATGTCAGCGGTTGCTTGAGTTGTATTTTGATGTGTCTCCATTTCCTGCGAAAGCTGATCAATGTTCCGAAGTTGTCGAAATGTTGTGTTATCAGGAACTTGTAGTGGAGCATCAGCTGGAAGTCGAGCTTGCATTGTTGCCATGTACAGCTGTGAGGCCGGCCCACTCGAAATATTGCGCTCAGCTAGCATAGCTGCTACACGAGGAACTTGCTCTTGGATTCGATTCTCGGTTGCTCTACGAATAGTGTTGGCTCTTGGTTCTGGTGCTCTTGGAACATAAACAAAAATCATTAAAACAAAATCAGACTGACCGTGTAGGCGAAGGCGAGCTAATTCCCAAGATCTGGCGACGCGGCTGGAGAAATTTTCCTCGTCCAACTCGAGAAATTCACGTTGTGGAGCGTGCTTGGTGGGCTTGAGATAGACGCTGAAGTCATCCTGCCAATCGTTTGGCAGACGACGGGTGAATTCGGTTGCTACTTGAGCCTTGAATAGCCTAAAGCTACGGCCAATCTGAAAGGAGAAGTCGATGGGCTCGGTCTTGTTTCGGCACGAAGTCAGAGGATCGTCGTTCTTGATGGTAAGGCGGCAGGTAAGAATTGCTGGTAGTGGCAGCGACATTGTAAAACTAAAAGTGAGCCTTTAAGCCAAAAGATGCCAGGGCGTGGGAGAAGACTCACGGTAGAGATCGACAAAATTTAGGAGATCATGTCGAAACGGGATGGAATTTTGCCAAATGTCATAAGATGTGGACACAATCTGTTTCGGTTTTGTTAATCTATCTTAAAATTTGTATTAAAACCATGATCTGTATATTTGCAATAAAGTAGGGATTTAGTCAATCGAGAACGTTTGTGCCCAGGGAATTATCCCATCTGCCGTCCGCCGAACGCCGATTGGACAGAACCTCCAGATGGTGCAATTATTCCCGGAAATCCTATCCCGACTGGTCCAATGAGACTCATCCCCGAAGGGATGTGGCGTGCCGACCCAAACACTTGGTTATGTCAACGATCCGACGAAGGACTTGCACACGACACTTACCTCAAGCATCGAGCTCCCTACAGACATGGGAATTGAACTCACGCCACCTGTTAGCTGACGGGCTCATCAGGCGCACGCAAACCAGTTGCCCAGAATGCATACTAATATTTTGAAGAAATTTTGTTAAATCTGGTCAAATATTTCTTCGATTGGCATCGTCTTTTTTTTCGTCAAAGGGTTAGGCTAAATTTTAGTCGGAAGCACCCGATCAGATAGGAGGTCTTCCGTAAGGGCCACCCTCCTACGTAGGACCATAAAACTGAGGGCGTTTTGGCAGAAAGGCACAATACTTGCCGCTTCCTACAGTGGGACCGTGGGGTAGTGAGGCTCGAAGAATGCGCCCGGTCAAGTAGCAAACTCCAACGATCTCGTCCCGTACTGACTTCAGCTTGTAGTTTTTCCCATAGCGCTCCTCCTCCATGACCGTTGCGTCGCCATAGCAAAGACACACCTGGCCTAGCTGAACTGCGCGACGACGTCTTCTCGGCCAGCTTCGACACCAAAGTTTCCTTCAAATTCAGGGATGTACAGGACATCCGACAATGTGACAGACGTTCCGTCTATCAACTTCAACCCAACGGTGCCCGTTGCAACTGCGCCGATCTTCGTACCATCCGCAATCGTGATGTGGATTGGCGTCTTCAGTCCTTCATGGACACGAACTTGTCCCAGACGCTGGTTATGTGCGAACTTGCACTAGAATTGACGTGCCATGCTAATTTGGTCATCGCACTTTCAGTCGTGAACGCAATGTCTGACGCTTGAGCTTGCGCCACATGGCCACATCTATCGTGCGCTTTCTTCTTGCGCCACTCGAACACTTTGTGCACTGACTTCTTGCAGTAGAAGCACTTGCCATTGAAGCGACGTTTGATTCTGAAGTTCTTCCTTTTCGTAGCGAACGCCCTCTCTTGAGTCGATGACGATTCAGCCGAGGCTTTAACACCAGGGAGTGCTTGGATCACGTAGGGGAGCGTTACGTTAGGCGCGTTTTCCAACACTCTCGCCTAATACGGTACCCGTCAGTTAGACTTCCGAGTAGTAGCACGAGCTGCCGAGTCTCGTCCAGAGACTCACCGATTGAATACATCTGCAGGACCAGCTCCTTTAACGTGTCCACAAAATCAAACTTCGTACCGATCTCTATCTTGAAGCTGTGTAGCGTTTTGGCGACGGGGAACCAGTTCTTGACCGTCTTTTGTTGAAGTGCTCCTAGATAAGGTCCACGTTTCAGCGGCCGTCAGCGATCCACGAATACAGACTTGATGTGCGAGACTCACGCCTCCGGCGATCACAACATGGCCTTCAGATAGTTTTCTTTCATTCCGCCGTGGAGCGGTCGCTCACTTGGTCAAACTCACACTTGATAATCTGCTGGAGCAGACCCTTTCAGGCGAGTTTCACACTCATGTTGAACTCCAAGTGGAAGTAGTTGCCATCCACGAGCTTGTCGATAGTGTCAGCGTAGCATGGACTCCTAACCGATTGAGAGTATAGGACGATGCGAACGAGGCTTGATATCGATGAGAGTAGATGAATGGAAATTTGAAAGGGAGATCATATGGGTTAATAATCCTAGTCTTGCTTGTTTCATCCTACACATGCAGCTTTCGTAGTACCTACCTCCCTCCATGCATCCCCCTTCACATACAGATATGTAACCTGCAACAGAGAGAATATCTTGCAACAGGGAGATGACCACGTCTATGCACATGGCTATCAACGCAGAACCTTCTCGGTATGCAAACTTCAACCCATATGTTCCAATGAGGATGCAGCATTTGCCCTATTTCAATTATTCCACATGGCACACGTACGGCACACGCGTACAATGTATACAGGCAGCAGTAGGTATTCAGTCAAGTAGACAGCAAAGTGCAATCACAACAAATAGAAGCTGAAGTAGCCCCCATCGCGATAGTTCACTCTTAATTAGAATAGAAACAAAAAAACATATGCACTCAAAGTAGATATTGTACTTGGTATGGGGGATTATTATCTCAATACAACAAGAAATATTTAAATTTTGAGCATTCCCCGGCGAGCGAAGCGAGAGAGTAACAGCTGTCTAAGAAACTAGTCATTCAGCCTAAACGGAATCAACATTTCGCGAGCGAAGCGAGGCTGTCAATGCTTCATCTCGGCCAAAACCTGCATAAATAGCCCCGCTTGTGAAGCTTACCCATGACGTACGCTGTGGCGTCGGTGCATCCCCTGCACTTGGTTCGCAGCCGCAGCATCTGCTTACTGTATCTGCGTAGTTTACGAATACTGCAAGAGCTCAAAAACGAATGTGTACATCCATTTTTTCAGCAGGTTACAAGTGTTTTGTTTCAAATAGAAAGTAGCTCTAACTTGTCCAAAACATGCAACGGACCAGTAAACAATCTGATCGGTAGATACATGTGCACCGCATCAAACATGAACACGAGATAGAGTCGTCGACAAATATAAGGTATTCCCCATTTACAGAAACAGCCAGTGACGTGTTGCCAACGTCACCCGGCTCAACGTGAATATATCTGCTCGCAATGGCGATTGATGAATGTTTGTCAACCCCGATGGGTATTCCAAATATCGGATAAACTACAAGTGTTACACAAAAGTTGCGAATAAAGCTAACGGGTACTTAATTGTAGTATCCTCCGGATTGGTCTACCTTCACGGATAACAAAAATATTTAAGAAGGATAGTGTCTATAACGAGGCCAACAAATAGAGAATGGGGATATATATATATATATATATATTTGAGTGTAGACACTAATAATTAAAGGGTAGAACTCCGTTACTATCCCGGATAGGGCTCTCTATTCAAGCACAAATGTCGTCTTTATTTATAGCAATTATATCGTGGTATTCGCCCGACGTTGAGCTGATTGACACGGATATTTCCCTAAATGCACTGAGAGATCGTCTTTCCGAGTCTGCATGACATCCGAACATGTAGCTTACCAAATTATTGCAAACGTTACTGTCATTTTTCACATACGCAGACTGTCAAATGTATGTTATTCGTAAAGCCGAACGCAAATCCCTATTTCATTTGTCTTAATCTGTATCTGCTCAAAATATTTTTTTTTGGAGAACTGCTCGATAAACGTAGAGAGCTTGTGTCTCTGCTTACCCTACACCGCGGTCTCAAACGCATTGGTACACCGGTTTAGTTATCTTCACTGAATGAAGATAAAATTTAAGAAAAAAGTTACCCCCCCCCTTACTCCAGTGAACGACATGTTTTACTTGACATCATCAATACAATCTACGGCATTTCGTGAATGTACACGATTGTCGTCCAAAATAAGCTAGACAGTTGAAATCTTTTCCCGAAGACGACGGGCCGGAGCCTTGCACTTGATACTCTGCGCTTCAGGCGCGGCTTCTGGGGTCGTCTCACTATTCGAGGATTCTTGTTTTGGTTGGGTATTAGCCGGCGGGGGATTCTCTTCGTTCTTAGAGCCCTCAGTAGGTAGTTCCTCCCCGCCAGCTGATCCAGCCGATGGCTTAGTTTGCGTCTTTGAGCTGCTACCTTGTAATGGGATACAGTTGATGTACGCCTGCCAATTCGCCCTTCAAAAGCGAGCCAGTACAGGGTCAGCGTGCACTTGCCGTTACACGACTAATAGTCGACCGGAATGATCGATGGCTTACTTGATTTGTCGTCGCCACCGGGGAAGTCTGTTTCGCAATTGTCACCTCGGGCCACCATGTTGTCGTCGATGTAAACTTCGCATGGGCCCAAGTGACCGAACCCACCATCTCTATTGCTCCGCCATTTGGCATTTCCGTCCGAGGGAATCGGCTGGGGGTCCACATCCATACGCGTGAACCCGCACTTCTTGTCTTTGACCATGTCTAGTAGGGCATCTCTCACGCGCATGCCCTTCTCCTTGGCCATTGTCTTGAACTTGCCAACTTGGTAGCCGTCCGAGCCGACGTCCCAGAAATTGTCGATTGTGCCTCTGCTAAAATTGCTTGTTGGTGCGTAATGAACCGTGTTGCACGCGTCTGGCGGGATGTGGTGATGGCTTGATCTGTCACTGCACGCGGCTGATAACCTAAGTCGGCAGCGAAAGGAGACTTTCCCGTGGTACTATGCACACGGGAGTTGTAGGCAAGCTCACCTAGAGGTAGGAGCGAGTCCCAGTCGTCTTGGTGAGGCGAGATGAAATGGCGGATATACTCGTTCACGAATTTAATCGTGACTTCCGATTGGCCATCAGTAAATGGGCGAAATGCAGTACTTAGTGCAATCAGGTCCCTTGAAGATGCATTAGCTGATTCCAGAGCTTGGATGTAAGCTTGGTATCGCGGTCAGAGACGATAGTTCTTGGCACTTCATGCAAGCGTTGGTAAAAATTGCAAAATAATGTTGCCGTATCAGCAGCAGTGGCATCCATACGTGTGGGAATAAAGTGGCCACGCTTAGTAAGGCGATCCACAATCACAATGGCAGCGTCGTGCCCGGAGGTAGTAAGGGGTAACTGAGTCATGAAGTCTATGCTAATGTCAGCCGAGGAATCTCGAGTGGGTGAAGGAGACCGTCCGGCTTGTCACGCACATATTTATTGCGCTGGCAAAGTTCGCAAGACGACACGTACTTCTGTACTGATGTAGCCATCCTTCTCCAGTAGTATTTTTTCCAAAAGTAACAGGAGGGTCTTGGCCTGTCCAGGATGTCCACGCGCAGGAGCATCGTGCTCCTCGTACAAAATTAAATTTCGTAGTCGGCCATGCCTGGAAAACACAAACGGCGAGGTGTGTCCGGACGCACTTGAAAGTAGATTAAACCATCTTCAATCGTAAAACGACGAAGACATCTCGACCCGGTATCATTGACTTCAGCCAAATCCTTTATAATGGGTCTGAAACAGGGTCGCTTGAGTAGCTGCTTCGACATATTGCGAGAAGGTCGATTGTTTGTGAAGACTGTTGTACAAAAAGGCTTTCTTCCTCCGGACTGGAGGTTTGACTGGTAAGCTGCTGAATTAGCTCAGATAGACTGAGCGCACGACTGGTACCATCGAACAGTCCGATCGTCGTGAAATGCCGTCCGCGGGAACATTTGTGCTGCCGGCGACCCATTTAAACCGCGGTTGAAACAGCGCCAGCTCGTTTAGCCAACGGGCAAGCCGCTGGGAGCACGTCTACTGCTGAAGAACACTCTCGATGGTCCGGTGATCAGTATTTAGGAAACATGGCTTGTCGATCAAGTATATTTTCCACACGCGCATCGCATGCAGAGCCGCAAGTAGCTCTTTTTTGCGTGTAGGATATATTAGTTCTGCACGAAATAGCCCCCCCCCCATACGCGATGGTTCGCTCTTGACCATTATCCCTATATTGAAACAGACAGATATCCCCCTACACCAAAATCCGACGCATCGACGCTGACATGGAACGGTTTATCAAAGTCGGCGTGCGCCAAGGTAGCCGTTGATGACAGCTTGTCTTTAAGCGTCACAAATGCAGTCTTTTGCTGCTCCGTGAGTACAATCGTGTCCTTAGGACGCTTGCCCTTGGCTGTTTCGGTCAATATAGCTACGTTTCAGCAAAACCAGGGCAGAACTTGCTAACGGAGACGCACGTACTAGTAAAGGACTGCATTTCGCGCTTAGTTGTAGGCAAAGGCCAGTCTCGAATGGCCGTCGCTTTTGCAGGATCGATATGAACGCCGTCTACTCCAACCAAGTGACCGAGACACGGAATCTCACGAGCGCAAAAGACGCATTTTTCAACCTTCACATACAGTTGCTGCTCCGCAGAGCGACTCGCACCTTCCGTGAAGTGTCCAAATGCTCATTTATGTCGTCGGACTCGGTGAATACTACCAGATCGGCGAAATAGGTGCGGCAGAAGTCGTCAAAGTCCTTAAACACGGATTGAACGAGCCGGTTGAAACAGGAAGGGCTACTAGAAATTCCCATAGGGGTCACTAAGTACTCATAGAGGCCATCCGGCGTGGCGAACGCTGTGTAAGGGATGGAATCTTCTTTAAGCTTCACCTGAAAGAAGCCCCATAGTAAATCCAATGCCGAAAACATGCGTCCATGTGACATTGCCCGGAGGATCTCGTCCTTCTGTGGTATTGGATTCGCAGGAACACGAATTTTCGCGTTGAGACCTCTGAAGTCATGCAAGATCCTCCATTCACCGTTGGTCTTCGGCGCGCAGAACGTCGGCACACAATAGGGTGAAGAGGAGGGTCTGATGAGGTTTGCCTTCAGCATTTCCTCAGTCCATTTCAGGATGGCAGCTCACTGTTCCTTTGAGAATGGAAATTGCTTTCTGTGAACTGGTGTAGAGTCAGAAACTTCGATACTGGCATCCATGTTGTTTTGCCGAGTAGGAGGAATCGAAAGCAGCTCAGAACGAAAAACACTGTTGCGAAATTTAACCAGTAGAGGTACCCTCAAGTTTCGTCCACGCTGCTGCCGCCTTGGGCGTCATCTCGGGGTCCTCTGGGGTATTGACAAAAAAGCAAAATTCATTGTCAGTCGCCTTCAGAAGCTTGCTAACGTGACGGGGTCGGACAACTCGAGTTATACCCTCTTCGGAATGATAGCCATGCGTAAAGTAATTTTGCAGACGCGCAGTAGCACACTGCCTAGGAGACTTTCGTGGCTGGCTGCATCGCCGTCCACCACCACGTACTGCGGGCTGAACGTCTGGTCGTGGACGCACCGTCTTGGCTGTCCAGTCGATAATCGGGTTCACCTCCTCGAGCCATGGCATACCTAGCATAATTTCACATGACTCGGAATATCCATCACGAAAGCTCCAGTAGAGTAAGTCGAAAAATCAGGTAAGATAATAGAGAAAGCCATCGAATGACAGCAACATTCCCGCCACCAAGGCAAATAGTCAGAGGCCGGGCATAATCTTGAACGGTCAAACCGGCACGTTTAGCAAAGTGCGGACACACTACATTGAAAGGTGCACCGCTGTCTATAAATATCAAAGCTGGCTGGTCTGCAACCAAGCCTCGTTGGTGTAAATGGACACGTTGGGAAGGTTGTTAGCGCGTCGAGGACACGTCGTCGCTCTCGTAGTCGACGGTACCTTGACCGCCAACGGCTCGACGCTTTGTTGCTGTATGGCAGACAGTAACAGTGTCACTCTCGGTGGGGCTCCAGCCCACCGAGCGTCCTAGGTTTTGGCACACCAGTGTCCATGCCAGGACAGTTGGACGACTTATGACCCTTGATGCTGCACTTGAAACAGGTTGGCACCACTGAACCAGCTCCGGAGTTCGACATCGATTTTGACGGGGTTTTCAAATTTGAACTTCCTGGCTCGATGCTACGTTCTTTTCCTTGTTGACTCAGGTTTTTGCGACTTTGTATATTTACAAACTTGCAGTTGTACCCTTTTCAACTTTGGTACATTCCGGGCATCCTCAAATCGTTGTGCACGCTCGATAGTGTCTTTCAGCGTGACAGGACAGTTTTGCGAGACGATGGAATTTCAGACCGCAGATTCTGCTAGTAAAACCAGCGTTTCACCACTTCAGACATGGCTATGGAGGACACCGACAGCAGCTGCATAAACTTGGTGCTGTACTCCTGTTGCGTACTTGACACTTGCAAATCATGCATTTTCGTCAACAACTTGAACTTGTAATCACTGTCGCGATAACGTGCACGGATCTGCCTGCTAGTTGAACAAAGACCACGTACGGGGATTGGGGCCCATCGCAAGATTGAATTCGCGATACCATGCCATGACGTCTACGACCAGAAATGGGACGACCATGTCAACAAATCGTGAGTCATTGCTGCCCATCTCAAGAGTGTACGCAGCAAAGTGCTCTTCGATTTGAAAGAGCCACAGCTCCAGATCATCATCGGCATGCCCGTAAAACTTGGGCGGGTTAGCCTTCTGCTTCTGACGATTGGCTCGCGCCTGCATCTCGTACATCTCCTGTTGGAATCGTGCCTGTTGCGCCATGAAATTGTGCATCTGCTGCTGGCTGGTAGTCATGGCCTGCTGCCGCATGTAAAGCATGTTTACTAGGCTAGCTAGCATCTGGGCCGTGCCAGTGGCCTCGGACGGGGTAGGACCAGGTTGAGGAACAGGTGGTGGCGGTCCCGCTGGCATCGTAGGGCCAGCTTGTGCACTCGCCGCTGGTGTCCGCGTTTCTTGGTACTGCTGATCGGGCATAGCCCCGGGCTCAGCATAGCTATCCGTGCCAGGAACTTGAGATTCATTAGTGGAGTTCATTCGTGGAGATAGGTAGGGTCTTAGATTAGGTGATTCGTCCTCGGGTTGGCGAGCAGTTTTCTTAGAGCTCATGCTTTGAACGAGTCGATTCGCACTTAGTCGAGTTGTTACAGTGTTGCCGCGAAGGTTGTTGCAAAGCCTTCGGCTCTATTTTCGAAATTGTCTTGCCTTTAATGGAGTGCTTGACCTTGAGTCTCTGTTAAGAGGCAATTTGAGAACTGAGATTGAATTGAGTGTTATACAAACTATAACTTGTTGACAAACGCAACGATTATGAATTTCGTGTTTCCACCCTCCTATCCTACCACAACCGAACTACCTCCGCTGTCCACAAACTATTTTTGTTTCTACCGCTAAGCCATCACGGTGTTATCCAGATATGGATTAATTCTGATTGTATCCGTTTTTTGGTCTAACTTGCTTCACGGGAATGGCGGCAGCCCTAAATTTGTCTCGGCCGTTGCTCCAACGGAACTACAATACTCGTCCACAGTATTCAAATGAATTTCCAGCGACGAGAAAAGTTCATGGGATCCTTAAGTACAACCAAGATGGGCAATCCTGATAAAACAGAAAAGGAGATGCATGGTCACACATGGCAGAAAAACATTAAGTGGTGAGAATTTGCGTAACCGGCTAAACAAAAGGCGAGTGAAGCACAGATTTGGCCAAGTATGACGGAGAGTTCATGGATCCCATTTTTTCGGCAGATTCGGCGCGCTATTGTCTGGATTCTTATATCCATCCAGAGTACTTATAGAGGTGCGATTCAACTTTAAAAAAAACTATACATTTATTCACAATATTAAGAAAGATGATTATTCTAAGTCACACATACAACTTGAACCGTATTATTTTATGTAACTGTTGTATCAGAGCGACGCCTGAATTTTTTTGGCGCTACTCATCTCCAAACTAGATAAAGAGAATTATACTGATAGTACTTCGGTACGAAGTAACGTACAGTCCAACCGGGATTAATCCGTGTCCGTGTGTTGTGTTTTACACACAGTTTCTTGCAATACAAATATCAAGTGAATCCATTTTTATAATGCCACATTCGCAAGGATTTTTACGAGGTATCGAGCAGCGGAGAGAAAATCATACATGATTGCATTGACTTAGGCCCGTTCTCAACCGATGCGTTTTCTCGACGCATGCGTTCCATGCGTACCCTACCCCCAAGCGCTTCGGTTGAAAATGAAAACAGGAAAAAGATAAAGGTTTTTATTGGTCAAAAGAAAATATTATCTAACCAATCAGCATAATGCTACTGGAACGATACTGCGAAGTTCGCAGTTCGAACGACAGGCAGGAGGAAACCTTTGTGGGAGGATGGAGCCTGACGCCCCCGTTGCTCGCCGATTAGCCCCTGAGCTCTCTGCTGCCGCCACCCCACCACCACTTCTTACCTCGTGTCAGGCTCCTCTCCTTATTGATCAAGATTTTCAAGGCACACCCCAGTCTTTTGTTTCAACTGATGCTCCTCCAATGTTAGACCGTGGGATCGTAGCTAACTCGTCATCGAGGCTGATGAGAAATGCTACACAAGCTGCTACTACCGCTGCTACCGATTTTCATGCTGCCTGTAGTGGCTACATGGTTGAGGGGCACTTTGCTTGGGAACCGTACGAGAAGAAAACGTAGGACCTCATTCGGAAGGAATGTGCTCTTCGTGAAATCAAACTGAACACGCGAACGGCCAAGGAGAACCGGATTTTATGTCTTCGTCGCTACGATGAACTCATCAACAGCGGCGAAGGGGCCTTAGCTGCTTCAACAATGGCTGGAGGAGGGACTCGCCGTACGAAGCACTGCTTCGTCTAGCTATTGTTGTGTTGTCTGACAACATGTACATGCGGCTCATTGAAGTTACCGGTAAGTAATCTACACCTAGCATCTGCTCTATTCATTTAACGTAACTATAATGTGTCGCCTATGAAAATTAGGAAGGAACTTCGATCGAGCTGACTTGGACGATGTTACGGACTCGCTGAAAGCTCAATTTTGGCGCGATGTGGCTACTGTTTATTGCCCTAACGACGATAAGTTCAAAGGATTCATTGAATATGATGCTGATTCTGACGGAATTGACCCTAGTACCATTGTGCCACATAGTCCAGCAAAATTGGAAGAGATGTGGATGGAGCTGACGTCGTTCTTCAGTATAAGTGAGGCGAACTTCCGTCTATCTGGGACGCACGATCACGAGTTCAAGCGGTTCGTGCAGGGCAAATTGGATGTGTTGTACCTAGGGTACTGGCTGAAGGTATGTCAAATTATGTGTGGTAAACTGTAAATTACTCACATTAGTGAATTTTATACATCCTATAGGAACGACCACAAGCTCTAAGCAGCGTGAAAGGTGGGATGTACGAGGAGGGCGAGTTTGACTCGCTTTCTTCGTTTACTCCGACTCGCGAGCATCGACGTGCTACCCAAGCAAGCGAGGTTCCAGCAGGAAGCGAACGGGTGCTCACACGCTCACCAAAGCAACTTCTAAAAAAGAAAACAAAAACACATTCCGATTCAACGGATGACGTGCTGGTGACACTTGTTGGTAGAATCGCAGCTGCACGGGAGGCAGAGATCACTCTCGCGCGAGAGCAGGATCAAGAAGCTACTGCTCGAGTGCGAGCTGAATACTACAAGATGCTCGATGATATCCGCAAGCGGATTAGCGCAATCGAAAGCGAGATGAGCTCTGCGGCAAGTCCTATTAAACTCCGGCTGCAAGTTGACTTGGACTTTTTTCTTGAGGAGCGTCAAATGATCATGGACGCCTTACGCGAACAAAACCTTTAGCTCACATAGGGTAGCTACCGCTGGGTTTGATATGAATCTAAAGTTTCTTGAATTGTGCTTCGATTGTTTCACTACTTCGGCGAGCTCCTCTGCTCAAACAGAACTTCTCTTGCTCCTCTTCGACCTTCGGGAGGTCCATGTTTTCCGACTGGGCGTGGTGACCAACGATATTACCAGGCTACACCGCGCTGCACGGCTTCTTGTAGGATTTCCAGGTCGTCAAACTGCAACAGCTATCACGAGCGTCTTCGGACCACCTTGAATTTCAGCGCAATACTAACCACCATACAGGTCAATAGCGCAGATTACCGACGGTGGAAGAGTGTTATATAACGTGCCACTCGAGAATATCTTCATCCGCATCGGTAACGACGGTTTCACGGGCGGAAACACCTAAAGACGCGTCTCCAGGTCCTGCGTCTTTATCTAGCAGCAATCACCTCTTGTGGTTGCGTTCGAGCCTGATTTCTCGATCTAACCCGCTCAGGTCGGTGCAAATTCTGACTTGCAATGCAGGCAACAAGGTGCGAACAGACTTTCTCGTCCATTAAATCGACGAATCTCCCATTGTCGAGCTCAACTTCAGACCTGTCGTAGTCAAGCGTCCCTCCGTGGTTCCATGCGCGAACCTCCCGTACAATTGACCGCAAAACGGGTTCAGGGGCTGACTGGGTCGACCGACATCGCTGAGTAATACAAAAATTGTGGAGTCTTATACAAGACGAAATTAGTATACGGCAATGTCGAAGCCGAACGAGAAGCGGTTGCTTCAAGATTCTCCACCTGTTCACTAGTAGACCAAATGCCATTTCCACCCTGATACGCAGCTGGCTGACGTGAAAGTTGTAGCTATCTCGTTTTGGTCTGTCATCCAGTTGTACCTTGTTGAATGGTGTCATGACCCTTCGGCTCTGTACGTACGCGTTGTCCCCAATAACGAAGTACGGTCCTGGAATTTCTTTAAGTAATTTGCTCAATTTCCAGCGCTGAAATGCGTACGAATCGTTCATCCCACCCGGTGAATTGACTGAAAACGCCGTAAAACGGCAGAGATGATCAGCACAGGCCTGTACATTTAAGCCATATTTCTGATAATGTCCAGAAAAAAACGATAGCACTCGTCCGCATTCAGCTTGACGAGGCACACGAATTGGACATAGCCATCCATCGATAACTCCAACGCAATCACTGATAACACCATAATTACTGCAAGCCTGAAAAGCGGCTGATGCCGCTTTCAACTCATCGGAAGTCTTTGGAAATTGAGGTGCGAGTTCCTCTGCATCGTTAATCGCGTACATGACTTTGTAATCGACACGATAAAATGAGGCAGTACTGATACCAGTTATCACACGAATGTGATGGTAACTTCCTCCTGCTAGCCATGATACTGCACACTGTAACATTGCAGCTGGCGTGAGTGGTGGAACTCCGCGAGACCTGCACACAGATTGGTAGTAGTCGACGACTAGATACTTCCCTAGAATATAAAGTAGTTCTTGGAATGTCTCAATACTCATTCGATAGTACCTCTGGAAGGCAGACTCTTGTATAAGCGTTGTAGCATGAATTCTCCACGAAACTCTTTCACGAACGACAGGATCCTTCTTCTTATTCTGCAGGCGCTTGAACATTACCAAGCAGACAAGAAGACCACATAACTCGTCTTCTGCCTTCCACCGGCGTTGTCGGCGCGCTGTTGGAGCGCACGGTCTAGTACCTGGATGAGGGGGCCGGGTCGATACTGGACCCATAGCGATCAGGAGCGGACTGCTTAAAATATCTAAATCCTTAAGAGAGTGCATTAATTGGACAAAAATGCAAAACGCATAGCAACGCATGCATCCAAAGTGTACTGTCCTTGGTACACTCACAAAGCCAATAAAAACGCAAAATGTGTGCTTCCGACGCATGCGTCGAGAAAACGCATCGGTTGAGAACGAGCCTTAGAAAGAAAATAAATTTCTGGGTTCTATCTGATGCACCTGCCCGTTGTTGTTGTTGTTGTTGTTACATTAATTGATCCGAATAAGATCTCGCTTTCATATTCTTGTACTACGCGCTATATTGATTTACGTACTAGGCAGTAAAACGACTACTAACGCAAAGTCACACTAATTCGATGCGTTAACATCCACGCAGATCCTTGGATATGCCATTTCACGTCGCTTTCCTCCTTAACGGGCGCATAGCATTTTAGGTGCATACCCGTGCCCAATCCGTCATGCTCCTGTTCATACTGCTAGTAGGTAAAATGTAGATAATTTGAGTCCGGCCAGTTCGGGGCGCGGCAACAAAGGGTTGCCACTGAGGAAAGCCAGAACTGAGCGCTTGATGGAAGATTCCAGACCAAGATTCTGCATCTTTCAAAATATGATTTGGTTGGAAATATCGGCGAAAAATGGAGAAAAGAATTTGGTGGCTA